TATGAAATGAATAATATGCAAACTTATCTTAATATAAAGATTTACACTAATGACAAATCAAGAATGTTGGTGTCATGATTATGTTGAAATCATGTTGGACATGAATTTTGTAATATAAAGTACATTCTATGCAAATTCATCTTAATAAAGATAAAGATTTTCATTAATAATAGATCAAGAATATTATTGTCTTGATTTTGTAGAAATCGTGTTGGAAATTAATTGTGTAATATGAAATGAATAATATGCAAACTTATCTTAATATAAAGATTTACACTAATGACAAATCAAGAATGTTGGTATCATGATTATGTTGAAATCGGTTTGGAAATGAATTTTGTAATATAAAGTAAATTCCATGAAAATTCATCTTAATGCTAAGATTTTCATTAATAGATCAAGAATGTTAATGTCTTGATTTGTAATATAAAGTATATTCTATGCAAATTCATCTTATTATAAAGATTTTCATTAATAATAGATCAAGAGTGTTAATGTCTTGATTTTGTTGAAATCGTGATGGAAATGAATATTGTAATATATAATACAACCTATGAAAATTCGTCTTAATATAAAGATTGTCATTAATAATAGATCAAGAATGTTAATGTCTTGATTTTATTGAAACGGCTTTGCAAATGAATGGAAATTTATCTTGAAAAATTGAACTAATTACATTACTATCAACGCATTTTTTCAAATTAGTAAGATGTAAAATTTGATTTAATAGAAAACTATGATTCTTTTTCTGCACAATTTAGATGATATAAATTATGTAAAGTAATGATGTGTAAAGATTTAGAATGTTCATGCTAAATTGATACCGAAATTGATGTTACAACTTGATGGTTGTAATCCGACTAAGTGGAAGGACAATCGAGCATCACAGATGATCACTTACTTTGGCTTCCAGCAGCCGTTCCCAAACGGGATCGATGAAGTAAAACATCCCTTCGGGAGCACCTTCGAGGGTCGCGGCTCTGGCCAGCAAAGTTATCATCACAACGTAAGGAAACAACGCCAAAAAATACGAAGCTTTCCCGCTGCTCTGCACCCCATTCCTCGACACCAAAAACGTGGCGATCCAAGAAACCAACAGACAAATGGTAAGCCTCCATTCCGGAAGCCCCAAACTACCGCTAATATCAGTGATCTCCTTCAGCACTTCCTTTCTAACAACAATAACACAAATAAATAACCCGTAAACCCTTAACAACTCCTTCATACTTAAAGAACAGCTCCGAAGAACTGGCGGTGTTCTGCAATTCGGACGCATCGTGCGTCTCTTTAGAAGCTATGCAAGTAACGTTTTCCGCAATCCATTCATCTCTGCATTCAGCCCAAGGAAGATCACCGGTGAAGGAATTAACAAAGTAGAAAAGAGTTATAGCCATCAAAGAGCAGTAATAGGTAGCAACGCATATCGAACCTATGGACTGTCCATAACCTATGCCTTCAAAACACACGGATTATAATTATTATTACAATTGCGTCGAATTGAGATTAGCAACGCAAATAGAGAATAAAGATTTCGTCAATGATGTCAAAAACACAATTATTGTGCGCAATAAAGCGCTTCAATCCTAATCCGCAAACAGGATTAGCGAGAATGCGCGCAATAATAACCCCATAAAAGCGTGTTATTGATTTTACCCTCAATTCCATTGTAAATATTAGTATTATTATTATTATTATCATCAGATGTTTGCTCTCGAAGATTGTTTACCTTTGAGGGCAGGTGCAAGGGCTTCGAACATCTTCACGTTGCCGCGACTGCTGAACTGTCCCAAGCACATTTCCAAGTAGTAAACCGGTCGTCCGATGAGGACTAATACAATTATGTAAGGGATCAGGAAGGCTCCGCCGCCGTTTTCGTAAGCTGTGAACGGGAATCGCCAAATGTTTCCCAAACCCACGGACATCGCGATGCACGACATGAGGAATTCCAAGCCGTTTCCCCATTGCGCCCTCTCTGGTTGTTTATTTTTCTACAAGAATAACAGTTAAAATATTAAAACTAAAGCAAATCTAGTCTTCGAAATAAATTAATTCAAAAACGAATAATTTTACATGAAATTTATTACAAGTTCCCTTTTATCAAGAAATCGACTTCATTGAATTAAAAATATCAATGTATAATTAAGAAAACTCAAATTTATGTCTAGTACAAAGATGAGTACTTCAGCAAATCGTCTCTGTTTTTACTAATTCCAAAAAATAAATTGAAAAACGAAATAATTGTATAAAAATACATAAATTCATTATACCAATTTACTCACTTTCAACTAAACATCTTCGTTTCATTAATCTAATATAACTTACTAAGTAAATGGTTACTAAAACTCTCAAATCTTATGAAAAATGTACTGAAATTATACAATTTCCACATAGAAATAAGGAAAACTAACATTTTTTTTGTACTAAAATGAAATTAATTAATTCAAAAAACCTATACAAATTTATTCAAGTATAAAAATATTAGCAATTTACTAACTTTCAACTAAACACATTCGTTTTATTAAACTGATATAAGTTATAAAGTAAATAATCACAAAAACTCTGAAATGCTATTAAGAAATGTAATGAAATTAACCAATTTCCACATAACATATAATATTTTTTTCAAATAATCATTGTTTACTTGTGAATAAAGCAAATCTTGACTTCTACTTTTAATTTACTCACTTTCAACGAAAATGGTTTCATTAATCTAATAAAACTTACTAAAGTAAACGATTACTAAAACTGTCAAATCTTATTAAAAATATACTGAAATTATACAATTTCCACATAGAAATAAGGAAAACTAACAATTTTTTTTTACTAAAATGCAATAAATTAAATCAAACAAGAATAAAATTCATACAAGAATAAAAATATTAGCAATTTATTAACTTTCAACTAAACACATTCGTTTTATTAAACTGATATAAGTTATAAAGTAAATAATTACGACAACTTTGAAATACTATTAAGAAATGTAATGGAATTAAGCAATTTCCACTTAACATATAATATTTATTTCAAATAATCATTGTTTACTTGTGAATACAGCAAATCTCGTCTTCCACTTTCAATTTACACACTTTTAACTAAACATCTTCGTTTCATTAATCTAATATAACTTACTAAGTAAATGATTACTAAATCTCTCAAATCTTATGAAAAATGTACTGAAATTATACAATTTCCACATAGAAATAAAGAAAACTAACATTTTGTTTACTAAAATGCAATAAATTAATTAAAAAACCTATACAAATTTATTCAAGAATAAAAATATTAGCAATTTACTAACTTTCAACTAAACACATTCGTTTTATTAAACTGATATATGTTATAAAGTAAATAATCATGAAAACTCTGAAGTACTATTAAAAAATGTAATGAAATTAAGCAATTACCACATAAAAACAAAGAAAAGTGACTAACATATAATATTTTTTCAAATAATCATTGTTTACTTGTGTCTAAATGAAATCTCGTCTTCCACTTTCAATTTACTCACTTTCAACTAAACATCTTCGTTTCATTAATCTAATATAACTTACTAAAGTAAACGATTACTAAAACTTTCAAATCTTATGAAAAATGTACTGAAATTATACAATTTCCACATAGAAATAAAGAAAACTAACATTTTTTTTACTAAAATACAATAAATTAATTCAAAAAACCGATACAAATTTATTCAAGAACAAAAATATTTGCAATTTACTGACTTTCAACTAAACACATTCGTTTTATTAAACTGATATAAGTTATAAAGTAAATAATCACGGAAACTCTGAAATACTATTAAGAAATGTAATGAAATTAAGCAATTACCACATAAAAACAAAGAAAAATGATTTACATATAATATTTTTTTTCAAATAAGCATTGTTTACTTGTGACTAAAGTAAATCTCGTCTTCCACTTTCAATTTACACACTTTCAACTAAACATCTTCGTTTGATTAATCTAATATAACTTACCAAGTAAACGATTACTAAAACTCTCAAATCTTATTAAAAATGTACTGAAATTATACAATTTGCACATAGAAATAAAGAAAACTGACAATTTTTACTAAAATGCAATAAATTCGTTCAAAAAAACGAATAATTACAAATGATTACATAATTTTACAGATTTATTGCTTTTTTCTACTAATCGACTTCATTGCATCAAATAAAAGTGCAAATATAATAAGCAAATCGTCTCCATTCTTCAAATTTTAATAAACCTAATTCATTAAAAAATAATATTACCAATTTACTAACTTTCAACTAAACACCTTTGTTTTATTAAACTGATATAAGTTATAAAGTAAATAATTACGAAAACTTTGAAGTACTATTAAAAAATGTAATAAAATTAAGCAATTTCCATATAAAAACAAAGAAAAGTGACTAAAATACAATATTTTATCAAATAATCATTGTTTACTTGTGACTAAAGCAAATCTCGTCATCGTTTTACTAAATTGCAACAAATTAATTGAAATTGAAATAACGAATAATTACATAAAAACTATACAATATCATTCAAAAATAAACTTTACAAATTTATAACAAGTTTCCCTTTTTCCACTAGTCAACTTCATTGTAATAAATACAAGTACAAATACAAAAAAGCAAATCGTTTCCATTCTACTTATTTCAATAAATTAATTAAAAAACAAGTAATTGCAAACAAAACATTGAATTCATTAAAAAAATAATAATTTTACTCACTTTCAACAAAAAAATCTTCGTTTTATTGAAGTGATATAAGTTTCAAAGTAAATAATTACGAAAACTCTCCAGTTTTATTAAAAAATGTAATGAAATTATGCACAGAAACAAAGAAAACTGAACAAATACAATAAGCAAATTGCTTCCATTCTTCTAATTTCAATAAATTAATTATGAAACAAATAATTGCAAAAAAAACATTGAACATCTTCGTTTTATTAAACTGATATAAGTTTCAAAGTAAATAATTAAAACTCTCAAATTTTATTAAAAAAATGTAATGAAATTATGCACAGAAACAAAGAAAACTGACTGACTTACAATCATTATTTTTATTATAAAATAGAAAAAAAAAGTGCATTGTCGTGCAATAATGTATTTTCTTACTAATTGCAACAATTCTCGGGAATCAGCTGATAACACATGTTTACACAAATCGCATTACCAATTTCTATTACTAATATGAATATTATATCAAAAAAAAATGCAACACACAAAAATTCTTATATAATCACCAACAAACCATACCGCATTTTCCGATTAATTAATTTACTCGTAAATAAACACTTAAACCGTAATAATTCAATGAACTGATCGATTTTCTCCCAACAAACGCATTTTACTCACATTTTTTTTTTGATTCTAAAGTTTAAATTAAAATTTAGAATTTATGTATTTCTTAAAGCAAGAAGATCATGAAAATAGAACAAACCAAATTAATATTACAAATAAAGCACAAAACATTCAAATATATTAGATTATCAGTAAAATAAAAGGAAAATAAGCGTATGACACCATTCCTCTTATCACGTTCGGCTTAATTAGAAACTCAAGGTTAAATTTGTTTATTTTCATTGATAATTGCGGATATTCCAATCAATGAAACACAAAACATATCAATAACAACATTAGCATTTAACATCTACTAAAAATGTTACAATTCTCTTATTGTTTCCACATTAATAATGCAAATCCGAAGGTGAATATATTGATGAAAATGTTTGTTATCTTTTTTGTCCAAAAAAATAAACAATTGTTGCTTCATTGATTAGTCATTGTCTGCGATGAATGAATTTACAAAATTTAAAGTAAACAAGCAAATTGTTTAAATTAATGACCGGATTTTGTGTTTCGTGTAAGAAACATGTGGTTACACAAATGTTGTTGTTCAAGAAATTTATTTTTAGTAAATGTAAATATTTTTTTATCTTTTAGTTCATTTAAATTTAATAATGAAAATTTTGAGAAAAAAACAAAGTTCTTCGAAAAAATTGTAAAATTCTTACGTTCTTCGTTTCAGCGTTGACATCATCGAAGGAAATGGTGAAAGCTGCATTATCAATTCCTTTCTCCTCGACACGGTTTTCCTACAAATACAAATCGCAAATTCTTGAAAACTTTGACTCTCAAAGATTTAACAGCAACAACAACAACAACAAGAAAAACTACTGTACAATTGCCATCGTTCAGATTCCCATGTATGTTGTAACGTGCATCAATTGTTGAGGTGATCCGCTCAGATGACAGGAGGTAACTTGAACGAGACTTGTTCTTGTTGCTCCTCGCACATCTAAGTTTAGTTTTCTATAGATTATGATAAAAATAATCGGTCGTAAAGTGAACGTGAATTGCCCAAGCTGATCCCTTTATTATCCGCGCAATTGCACACAAAAGCAAGCATACAGCAACATTTCAGCTTCGACACGAAAACATCGAAAAATTTTAATAATCGCTTCGTCATCCCCGGATTTTTCCATCGCATCAATTACAAAATCGCAATAAAATATGCGCAATTTATTGTTCGTATTTTCAATATCGCTTATTAATTTTTTTCTTTTTCAATAAAATCTTTATTGACTATTCATAATCTAAAGAACTATTCATAATCATTATCGAACAATAATAAAACGTGGAGTGTACACTACTAAAACGGATGCATGCAAACAACATAAGTTGAACTTCATAAATCACTAATTTCGTTACACACAACTTCGCACTTTGCAACACGAATTAAACGCGAGAACACGCCGAACTTTGAAGACTTATTACATCGAGCATCTAAGATTCTGAATAATGCAATTTGCTTCAGTTGCATTTGCTTACAATCAAAATTATTCGCATTTAACTTTGTTGGAATAATACGTTAACAATATACAAACTTTGTGAACTGAAAATTAATTCGTTTAATATGATTTTTTGTAAACTTTCCAAAGCTGCTGATAAATAATAAGTTTATTGACACAATTTAATAGTTTATATCTTTGTTGATGGAAACGTTATTATCTTATTGGTTTATAGAGCTAGAATTTTTATTAATATTATAAAACTTTAATCTGCGAAACAATACGTCTTCAAGCACATTTTTTTTTAAATATCCTTCAATAGCTGATATCATTTTCAAGCAACATTCATGTGATTACATCAGTAAGGTAAGAAATCTTGTTATAATTTCAAATTTTCTACAAGAATAATCTGAATTACATTAAAATTGAATTACTATAGTTGAAGTTGAAAATTTTAACTAATTTCTTCAACAAAAACTTTTATATTTATGAAAATTCAGTAAATTTCTTAAAAATTTTAATGAATATTCTGTAAAATTGATATAAACTTAGATGTAATTATTTACAATGTAAAAACGTAAACAATGTTTCGATTAATAAAAGCATTTTATCATTCGCTAATGATTATTCAAACTTGTGTTGAATAATGTTCAATTAAAGTGTTTTTATTTCTGAATATAATATCTTATACATTTATTCATAGGATCCACCAGAAACCGCATTTTTTTCATTACTTTAATCGATGATTTAATGATTTCGAAATGTACAGATTAATAACTAGCAACAAAAAAACGTCCATAAAATTTCAAATATTTCAATATAATTGTTACAATAAAATAACTGATTATTATTTGATATTGTATTAATGAGAAAACCTATAAAACGATTGTATTAAAATTCCTGCAACCTGACGTAATTGTAGCAGCATTTTCAAACGTTTATTCCACTCTCGTGCAGAATTAGGTAATAAAAACATTTTTTTCTCATTTCTTCTACATTTTTCTAGCATAAATCAGTGGTTTGGGTTGGGCAAATGTTGAGTAAAAGATGCATTTTGTTATGCGTGAAACATATGTAAAATAATGTTTATTCGTGATCCGAATTCAGCTTTGAATACATTCTCTTACTGAATGTGAAAAATGAAAAGCTTTTTGTGTGTACGTTTCGGTTTCTTTCATATTGATTGTTTTGGTTTTAAAAATAAGTGCTTCTGACCGAAAGCGTTTACGGATCTTTTGATGCGCGCGGATAAATAAAAAAAACTCCGAAAGGAAAACGTGTCCATGCGATGTAGTCAATAAATTACTTTGATGTTGGGTATTTACACGCTGGTTTTTCTCTCACGATACGTTCTTTGCGGGGATTACTTACATTTTTTTTTGTTGTTGTTTTAGTTGTTATACAATCACAATTGATGACATTGATGGACAAATTCTAAGATATTTATTTATAATTTTATACAGGAATTTTGCGGCCAGAGCTACTTTATTCATCAATTACAGTTCTTAGAAGTAATTGTCAATGTTTCATGTATTTTACTACAGATTTGTAAATGTTCATTGTAATAAAATTACTCGGAATTAGAGATTATTAGAATCACAATGAAACGTACAAAGTTTACTAATTTTGTGTATAAAGTCATTAATGTTTGGTCGTGCGATTTTCATGCAAACACATGCATAGGGTAATTTGATTTTCCGGCAACAGGCGAAAACAAGAAGTTGCGCGTTGTAGAACGAACATACAACAATACAACAACAACAACACTTTGTTAGCAATCGTTTTGTGCTCTCCCTCAAACCAGCGTTCCGTATGATCCAGTTCGCACATATGTTACTGCTCCTATTAGTAAACCATTGAAATGCAATTAACTGGTGTCGGCGGTGTTTAAACAAGCCCCCTGTTATTACGAAACGCCTCTCCAAACAAACGGCGACGATCGGAGAGTATCGATCATTTATAAATAGAGTGCAGTGTGCTATGTCGGATAGTCAAATATTCATATTTACCGTCATCACCCACATACAAATCCACTCCCACAAATTGATGCAAATTCGAAATTAGAACATGGTTTGGTTGCAATTGCATTTGCTACAATCACAATTTGATTTTATCCAATTTACATAAGTATACGTAGCTTTTCTAATCTTTCCTGCTAGTTTAGTATTAAGAGATCTTTATTTCCAAATTTGTTTCAATTATTACTGTTGTTCTATGCAATTTGGGATGTTATAAATGTGAATGTGAATCTTCCAAGTCTTCTAAATTGTAGTTACTTTTGGAAATTGGGTTTAAATATATTCAGATTGAAAGAAATTATAAAGTTTTTAAGATTTTTTCTATTTTCTTCAATGAAATGGCATACAAAGGTACAATTTTGTATCTGTAAAGAGGGATGTACAAATAAATGGAGAGGAGCAATCACTATTCCCATGAGTTGTCTTCCTCGAACGTTTTGCTGATGGTCCTCTTCCTCGGTTTGATCAGACAAGGCTTCGTGGAGTCCGCCTCGGCCTCCTCGCTCATTTCCACCTCCATCACCGGCTCTATGGAGCCCCTCTTGAAAACGTTCGAGCTGAAAATTTAATGAGCATCAATATTGATTGATTCGTGTTCGCGATTTCGAGATTGGCCTACTCATTATTAGACTTTCGTCTCTTTCGCGGTGGCAGTCCTTCAGACGACTTCCGTCTCCTAGCCAACGGAGACGTCTGTATAGAGGAAATACCGGCGAGAATCGCCTGCCTCCGAACGTAGGTCATTATGCTGTACCTATCGCTCTGGGATAAAGTGCTCAATGCGACCGCAGCCTGTTCCCGTTTATGAAGGGCTATGTATGCGGACCTATCGTCGAGCCAGGCCACATAGACGTTCCCTAGAAAAAAAATCAATCCTTCAATGACTGCTGCAAACTCAAATAATAATAAAAAAAAGAATGCAAATTTACCGAACGGACTGAAGAGCTCCGTTATGTCGTTCAGTTTCCACTCCTTCGGAAACAACAAATAAAACACGTGATCTCGGGATGGATTAGCTGCAATCAAACATTCAGTGATTTCACTCATTCAATCATTTACGAAACTTACGATCCGCTCCGTCTAGTTGCATGTAAGGAGCGTCCTGGATGCGCATCAGGAACAAACTAAAAATATACTTTACATTAAAAAGAACTTCGATTCTATTACTATTTCAACCCTACCGATTTATGTAAGGCTTCAGCAATTTGAAATCCTTGAACGTCGAGTCGCTACCTTTCCCCAAATACTTCCACATCGCTATGAAAGATAGCCCTGTTATGTAAGCGTCGTAGCCAGCCTCGTGTTCTTTACTGCTATCCAAAGAATAACCATTTTCAGCTTCAGAATCTAAAAAAAAAAACTTGGATAGTTACAACACTGCAAGAAAGTTACAAAATTAAATCTTACCTATCTTCGGTAAACCGAACGGAGAATTTGTAACTGTTGTCAGCAAATGCGACAACACCGTGGAGGTAATTAAATCTTTAAAAGGACCGCTACTCGACATATATTTCGTGTCTAAAATACTAAAAACAAAACTGTTAAAAATACAACCACAAAATCGAATGTGTGATAAACTTACAAAGGAAATAAACAATTAACACATTCCTTGAACGATTCGTACTTTTCGGGCAGATTACTCAAAAATTTGTCTATTGTGTGGCATACGTCCAAAAGCATATTATGCCCAACAATTAATTTCCTCTTTAAAAAAAAAAACAACACATTTAATACGAATTAATAAGAGATTAAATAATTCGACTCACGGATTGCGCTAAATATTTTATGATTTCCGAAAATCCAATTGCCTGCTTCAAAACCTCCGCCTCTTCGAGTTTCTTGTTTTCTTCATCCTTGTTTCTATCGTCGATGCTCTTCGGCCTAGTCACAACCAAAACGCGATCCTTGTTCTCTAGCTGCCTCGTTTCCAAACTCGCCCTCTTGTCGATCCTTTCCCTCGCCGTTTGATAAATCAATCGCCTAATAAACGGATTACATTTCGGCAGAATGTGCTCGTCCTTATCGCTCGCAATGAATTTCTCAATCTCTGCGCTAAATAGTTTCATAAAACCGTAAATTATTATACAAAAACAAAAAGCTTAATTTTTTTAACTAACAAGACTTTGTCTATAAATGGTTGATCCTCTTCAGGTATGGATATCCTATTTAAAGTTTGTGGTGACAGATACAACTTTGCCCTCGCTTGCCTTCCTTCCTCCAAAACTTCTCTGTACTTGGCTTCATGCTGCGTATTCAAATATGGAATACCTATTAAAATCAATTGAGATTATGAAGAAACCAATTGAATTTATAAATTATTACCTTCATTGAACAATTTGTTGAAGTCGAAACCTTGTTTGACCAAGAAATCTATGCTAGAGGATTGACAGAGAAATCTGCAATCAGGTACCATTCGATTCAAGGGTCGTGGAAATATGTAAAAATTGAAAGCTTGCTGCTGAAAGGATTTACTTTTTTCACAATATCTAAAAAAAAAATGTAATAAGTAAATTTAAATGTAAATTTTAATATTTTTTGTTACGTGAAAGTGCATATTCCAAATTGAATGACAAGAAAGTCCTTGGAATTCTTGTGGACCTTTTCAAAGTATTGTTTTGGGGTGTCATAAGCATTGATCTCTGAGGTAGTGTTGATGCCAGTTAATTCACAATCAATTGCAATGAAAGTGGATGCATCGATTGCTGCCTTGACTTCAGGCAGCTTCTCGAAATAGGCTGCAAAGAGATGATGAAAGATTATAGGTTAGAAGTAGAAAATATTAAGTTTTAGAACTCACTTGACTTTGTAATTTCCATATTAACTTTATGGTATTCACATCGGTTGATTTGCTTGAAATGTAGAACTTGTAGTTGTGATGAATTTTCTTGTAATTTTCGTCTGTGGTAGAAGAAAATGTGTTGTTTCCAGATAGTGTCAGTTAGTAAAAATACGTCTGAATCGGCCCTAGATCTGAAACAGTAAGGTTTTCGTGGAACTGGATAGTTTTCCAAGTTTCTTTTATGTCGTCTTACCCATGCCGGGAAAGTCTATTTTTTCTTCAGTTAACATGAAAAACAGTTAACACGTACGAGCAACCAAATGCACACGAGTTACTGGAACTACTTCATCTGAACTACTTCCTTTCAGAGGTTTATCTATGTTTACTCTTTTGGCTTGTTTATTTTATATTACAGTATAAACTAAAGCGAGGAATGATGTTAGGAAACGTGATTTATGACTGCTGTAAATAAAAGAGGAGTAAAAAAAATGCGAAAAAAGGATGTTATCTCTGACCCTGAGTCTAAGCACTTTGGAATAAGCGAGGTCGCGAGTTAATTAAATGAAATCCTATGTCCCCGCTATCGTCTAACCTGAAAACAATCGCCTTTCGTTGTAGTAATGTGAACAAAAGATCATTCAGGTGCGAACCACTGATAAGCGCGAACCGTGTAAAGTTGGCTTCGGGCCTAATAACAAACATTTTGTTTTCAGTTTAGGCAGGATCGAGATGGCTTTCGTTGGGAAATCGGATCGTTTCAATGGGGTCACAGTCTATTCACGTGACCAGAATCACGTAGAGAATTTCGCCGAGAACTTGCAACGTAAGTGAACATTACTACTCAATGCATAAATTGCATAATTTCATTGATCCAGTTGCATTTCAGAGTCGTTGGAGCAATGGGATGCGGAAAAGAAAAGAGGCGTGTGGTTCAAAGTGGCCTTGGAAGAATCCGATTGGATACCTGTCCTCGCGAAAGTAAGTGCGCATTCTTCCAGAGGGCGTTCCTAGCAGTAGTTCTAATTTAAATAACGCTGTACCATAGAATGGTTTCAATTACCATCACGCTCGCGATGGGTATGTTATGATGTACAAATGGTTGCCCACCCATGAGGCTAGCAACATACCTCCATACGCGCACACCATGCTAGGAGTTGGAGCTGTTGTCGTCAACGAAAAGGACGATCTTCTGGTCGTATGCGAAAGGTACAATCGCATCACCCCTTGGAAACTGCCAGGAGGATACGTCGAACCCGGTAAAACGAAAATATTATTAGCTTCAACAATCAAGACTACTTCTGATCTTTTTCCAGGTGAAAATTTCGTGGACGCCGCCATCAGAGAGGTGTACGAAGAAACAAACATCCGCACCGAATTCAAAAGCGTCCTCTGCTTAAGACACGCTCACGGCGGTCAATTCAGTTGCTCCGATTTGTACACAGTGATCTGTCTGAAACCCATGACAGAAGACATCCTGAAAGATGACCGCGAGATCCATGACTGCAAGTGGATGCCCATAGCCGACTTCCTGGCGCATCCGGACATCCACGAACTGAACAAATTCTTCGTGCAAAAGTTCTTGGATAACCGACGAGATGGCGTCGCCATCGAATCCAAGCACGGAATCCACCAGCTTCTGAAGAAACCGTACACAGTTTACCACGCCTCTACCCAAACCAGTAGCAAAATGTAGCAAAAAAGAATAAATAAAATCTAGTTTTCAATTCGCACTTTATTTACAAATTTGAACTACTTTATTTACAAACTTCACAGGACGAGCGTCCAAACGATTACATAAATATTTAGTGCTATTTACACTTAAAAATTACAAGTGTATAAATTATCAATATTACAAACATTTCTTTTAGATATTTCATAAATATAATTTAAAGGATTTCTTCTTTATTTATTATTAATAAATTTTTGTTTTTTTCAAATTTATTTCTTTCATAAAAAATAATTAAAAATTTTCTTACATTTTCAAATAAACAACAACAAGAACAACAACGATTTTTAATTAGGGGAATCATCTAAATAAATTCAAAGACAATTGTTTCTTTTCAGATGTTTCGTTTCTCTTTTTTTTTTCAAAGGACGGTTGATGTTTACTGGAAATTTGAAAAATAGTAACTAGGACCAATCTATAAATAACTTATCAATTACGATCAACGTATGTACAAATTTGGCTTCGTAAACATACACCAAAAACGAAATGCATTGAGATTATTTATATTATTAATAATATTCTTTTTTTTTTTGTTTGTTTTTCTCTCTCTGAATACTTTTACTGAAAGGTAAAATACAATTAAATAAGAACACAGAACAAAGAAGAAACGTAGATAATGTCATGGTGCATTCATTACTGAACTAACTGACTAGAAGCTTAGTTAGTTTGCATAATTAAATGGAATCGATTTGATATAATACAAAAAATAAATAAGTTAAGGGAGCTGAGAACCCAAAGTAAGAACACAGATCGCGTTTTTTTCTTTCTTTCTTCTTCCTAAGAACGACATGAGATTACAACCCTCTACCCTACAGATTCCTCTCTCACTATCAAAGATACACATAAACAAATGAAGTGACGTAATGGGAACAGCGTTTTGTTTTTTTTTCTTTTGTGTGTTAAACACACACTAGCATACAACTATTTAGGGTTTTTCTATTTCTTGCTTTATGAGTATTATCCTCGCTAAACAACAGTTTTGGTATGACTGCAGACTAATTTGACTAATGTGATCCGGAACCGAGTATGATTTTTATTTCTTCGATCTTCGTCCTTCCTTCCGCAGGTCCTCATCGTTCATTCAGCTCCTTCCTCCTCTCTCTCTATCTCACTGTCCTCCCATGCACGCACACACCACAAACGAAACGGAAGTTGGGTTTCTCTTCAGTTGATTCAGCTCATGCTAAACCGCAGGAGCAGCGCCAGCACCGCCGACGCCGCGACGCTCACCAGCGACGCCCGCGTCGCCGACAATCCGGCGCCGGACCCGAGCCCGCACTGCCGCGATCCGTACGAAGAACAATGGAGCTGAAACAATACAAGAAATTATTCAATTATCATTCACATACCCATATTGATTTATAACTAATTCTATTCGTTGTAACGCATTTGCTTTTAATACTTGGTGTATCAGTTGAATCTCTTCTAATTACATCTATTTTTTTAGTTGAATAGTTGGAGTAATTCATTCAAATACTTTTTACTCTCTTTCATATAATTTGTTCTTTTATAGCAAAAAGGTTCAATCCAATTAGGTCTATCGTTAAGTTAAATACTTATGCTTTGAGCCGATGAAACCCTTGATTGAGAATTCAATAAAAACCAATTAATTTAATTTTCCGTTGTAATTCTGATTAAACACTAAATTTTCAATGAAATGCGTAAGTAAATTTGCTAATAAATCCCATCAAAAGGGCGGAACCCAAGAGTAAACTCCGCCCACGGCAGACAGTAGCAGTCCCCATCAATTATGCAACCAAATACACTGGCCGGGTGTTATTCGGTTGCGTTCAATTTAGATTAGGAAAAATATGCCGAGCGGCATATTTGAATACGAATTTTCTTTTTACACGCTTAACGACTTTCCCGTACAAAAAAAGAGAAAGAGCAACCCCCAAAAAGTACATATTTGCAGCCGGCGGCAATAATATCCGCGGCGCAACTGTAAACTGTAAATAAATAAATGAATGGAAACCCTTTTCCAACAGTCCCTAACAAAAAGAGCCGCCAAACGCGGAATGTTTTCATTCCGGCCTATTTGGTGCGCCACGTCACGTTTCCGGCTTTGCAAAAGCTTTATTGCGATTTCCGGAGGGCTCTGCATTATTTAAACAATCAGGTTTTATATATGTTTTTTTTTTTTTATATCCTTCTATATTATATTGTTTGTATCGTACCTTGATCATGGAGGAGGACATCCTGTCCAGGAAGTTCCGGCTGAAGAGCGCCGCGTCCTCGCCGCACGCTCTTCTCATCGTGTGCGTCGAGCAGTCCACATACTCGCGGAATGTGCTGCAAATGGAAATGCGGAAAATTGAATAAATTTGTACGGATTAAAAATACCTGGGGGAATATTCAGCGGCACGCGTGTTCAAGGGTGTATTAATGAGACCTGCAAGGAGGGGGTGAGCTTTGGGAATAATTCATGATGCAGCGAATTTTGAATACAGGTCGTGTGTATGAGATTAGGACAATGTCAAATCGCCAATGCAACATCAACGTTTACTCAATGCTCTTCCATGTTATTAATATAACGTACACGTACATCACGTGCTTAAATAAATCGTTTTCTATAATAGTTAGTGCAAAGACGAACAAGTTTTTGTTTAAATTCATTAAAAATGTAATTACAATTAATGTACAGTTTGTAAAAATTGTTGTAAAAAAATATTTAATTTATGTGTTTTGTCGATTGGGTGCAATTACTTTTTTATAATATGAAATGTTTCCTTAATTAAAAGTGCAATTTTATATTTATACAAAAAAAAATAAATAAAAATATAATAGGTGTATAGTTAAAATGTGGTAATTATGTTAATATAAACGATGTTTGTATCTCGTTCTCTGTACGGTCGCAGTATTTTTGTAGGTCGCAGGGAAATATAAGAAATATGAAATTTGGATGGGAAAAACGTGAAAAAAAAGAAGGATTTTCGCAACAGCTGGCACATTTTTCGCCGTGCTAGTGTTCCAGTGGGTACGAAAATATATGCGGTTATTTGGCGAAGTGAAGTCATTAAGGAGTAGTGCCAGCGCGGCGAAGCGTTAAACGTTTCGGATAAACTACTTGGGGGCATATTCTTCATTACCATGCAGAAAAAGTGGCTTATTATTTTTGCCGCAAATTGAATAGCCAAACTACACCCAGTCCATTATTATTGTAACTGTGATGCAGAATCTAGGTTATTGTGAGGGTATTAAATCACAACACCCGCATCGATATTAGTGGTGGAAGTTGGCCAGAAACCGCTAATTTGGGGTGAAATTTATTGCACCTACCAGCAAACGCTCTTTATGCCCTCATCTGCGGCCTCGCGTTTCTTCTTCTGGAATATCGAGTTAGGTTCGGACTCGTTCTGTATTTGCGGAGCGTTGCTGCTGATGGACGTCATCGCCGTCGAGTATCGACTGAAGCACACCTCGTTCTCGGCGGCGACTTCCTTCATGCACGGCGCGTACTTCAAGTATTCTGTAGTCAAGTGAAGAAGATTAAGTTTTGAAGCTCTCGAAGGATCGATGATCAATTTTTACCTTCTTGGTACGTGCTGTTGTTGCAGAGCTCGTGAACCATGACGCCGGTGCTGTGGAAAAGTTCCCTGAAGTGTTTGCGATGCTGCAAGTTCATGCACATCCTCGTGTACGAATGTATGCACTTGAGAGCCGCCTTCAAGTCGCTGCAAATAAAAGAAAAAGAAAGAACGGTTAAAGATAAAACAATTAAATATATAAAGAAGACGAAGAAGGAAAGATAAGGGCTCGTTAATTCGGGAGGGCCCAAAGTTGAACTGATTATCACGCGGCGGTAATGAGATTTCTCTACGCGGAATGGACCTTGTTAAAATCTGCGCCTCCCCAAAAACATGATCGATTCATCGTCCATCAATCCATCGAAAAGCAAATTGGATTGCCATCGGGCACGCACGGACACGGATCGAAAGAGGAACCTTTAATTGTCGATTTTCGGCTCTTCGAAATTGGAAATTCCAACGATGGAAATAAAAGAAAAATAAGAATACGAAGAAGGATATAAAGGAGGAAACGAATGCGCGCCCTACTATATACTTCCACCCTCAGGGGGGAGATGGGTGGCTCCAAGGAAGCGTTTAATTCTCCACGTCTCTGGGTGTTATATAGTTGATGGTAATTGAATCTCCCGCTCTGCATCGGGTTAAGTTGTATTTTCCCCGGTAGGAAGTCGCTAGGAAATAATGGGACGGACCCGGAAATTATACACAGAAACGAAACGCGACTCAATTCATCACGGCCAAACGAGACAAGCGCGCACAACTTTAACAATTCCACTTTTTCACTGGCCCGCACCGAAACCCTCCCTATCAATTCATCCTCGTCCTCGTCCTCTTCCCCTCAATTCCAATGTTACATGCTTTTCTCTTCGGATGAATCCTTCCGCCAATTCAAACACGTCCATCCAACCAAAAAAGTAAAACTGTGACACACTTGCATCCATTCTTGTAAATCAAAAATGTATACAGATAATCAAAGTTTTAATAAACAACAACAAAAGAAATATATCATTGATTTTCATTTAGATCGAACAATTTTATACTTCCTCTGTCCGAAAATAAGAGTCCCATTAGAGCAGCGGTCGGGGAACCGGGGTAAATTACCCAAAATGGGGTAAAAATGAATTTTTTCTAATTTCATCTTACCAAACTCAGAGAGCGGTTTTCTGACTACTTTCCAGATCTTGATGTACAAACTGTGAATTGGGTTGTAGATCCTTTTAAATGTGAAATTACTAACATACCAGAAGAACCTCCAGGTTTGGCAGAGGCAATTCTTGAACTTCCATCCAATACTGAAGCACGTATTCAATTTGAGACCAAAGCAAATCTGTCGTCTTTTTGGTTGTCAAAGGCTGCAAAGGCTTTCAAAATTGCACATGAGGAGGCGGTAAAAAAATTGCTGCCATTTGCAACAACCTTATTTGTGAACAAGGTCAGTTAACCAACTAAAAACTGAAAAACAGAAATCGATTAAACGCCGAAGA